TGACAACAAACAGTTCCGAGTCATTCAATGGTCTTCTTAAGTCAGCCAGGGGCCTGCCAGTTACTGCAATGGTAAGACTCACTTACAATCAGATTGTGAACCGATTTGTTACAAGATCAAAAATTTGTCAATCAGCTAGTACAACAAAAGCAACAATGGATGCCTAAACCATTCAAGATTTTTGAGGATAATCGAAAAAAGTCACAGCGTCACACACTTATCAACTATCACCAACAAAGGGAAAACATATTTGAGGTGCAGACACATATGCATCATGGTAGTGGTGGTAATAAGCACATTGTAAATGCATCACAAGGAAAATGTCAATGTGGTAAATGGCAATCATACCACATTCCGTGTTCTCATGCAATAAAGGGATTTGACCAAATTGGGTATCAAGCATGGGAGCATATGGCACCAGAATTCAGCCTGCGTAGCTACAAACAAGTCTACTCTGGACAATTCAATCCACTCGGCGGTGAAAAATATTGGCCTGATAGCCCTTTTCTTATGATAGCAAATAAAAAATATTTACGAAAAGTGGGCGTAAATAAAATCACTCGTATACATAATGAAATGGATGTTCCTGCAAGTACACTCACTCGCAAGTGCTCAACGTGCAAACAATTAGGCCATGATAGGCGCAACTGTCCTTCACAAGCTCGAAACGCCTCATATGGTGGTAGTAGCTAAAGAAAGAGGTTTAACTTTGTTAATTTATTCTTCTATCAATTTCTATGCAACTTTTTATTCAACTTTATATAATTAGAATAATAATACTATACACCCTCAAAAAAAGATACATACACAAAAATAATAACTTTATATAATTAGAATAATAATACTATACACCCTCAAAAAAAGATACATACACAAAAATAATAACTTTATATAATTAGAATAATAATACTATACACCCTCAAAAAAAGATACATACACAAAAATAATAACTTTATATAATTAGAATAATAATACTATACACCCTCAAAAAAAGATACATACACAAAAATAATAACTTTATATAATTAGAATAATAATACTATACACCCTCAAAAAAAGATACATACACAAAAATAATAATATTATGTTCCACAACCCTTTCTTGAAATCCGTAGAACATCTCGCGGTCTAAGTCCCGTATATCCATCCTCATCTTCATTGTCCCTCTTCCTCTTTTTGGCCGGAAGATCCTTTATGTTCACATTCTTTACAATTCTTTTAACAACTTTTTTTCTTCCGGGTGTTTGAGGCATATCATCCACTGGCATAATGAAAGTAACATCTGGAGACGAGAGTGGTGACAAAGTGGTCTGCAAATAGAAAGTTAGATAGTAGAAATTGAAAATTAATTGACAAAAATAAAGAGATCCATCTTTAAAGAGATCCAACAATACAACAATAAATCCAAGCACACCAACACTATATATTCGTATGCTCCATTCTTTATTTTGGATCATAGAATCAAAACCAAGACTTCATTATTAAGACAAAAAGCCAAACCAACCTAAGTTTCTTTACATTTAGCATAACCTGTTTCCACCAAGGCATGCAGTTTGGAGTGACTGGTTAAAATTTTGAACAGATACAAACATCATGACAACCAAAAGAACTGAGAAATGCAAAATTAAACCCAACTGATAGAAATATTATCTCTAACTGCTCCAAGCATTGATACACAATAACTCATCACTCAACAACTTTTATCTATTTCACCACCATGAAAATGACCTATATCTATTGATGAAAGTTCACTTACTAATCAAGGGAGTTTGAAAAAAAATTCAATAGAGTACCTTAACATATCGAATTGGAGACCTTAGTGTTACAGTATTCAACTCATACCAACCAAGTAATGCCCTTTAAGACATTCGAGCTTGGTTCCTGGGATAGGAAGGTGGAGTATTTGGTGGCGCAAATCCCTGTCAAAACAAATAGGAATAGGCAGCTAATTGATGCAAGTCTATTTGTCTATGTAGGGGCTTAGAAAAACCAAATAAACCGATGAAACCTTTCAACATGCCATGTAATCCAAGTGCTATAATAATACTTTGATGAACAACAAGCAATATAGCTCTTAAAGTCCAAACATATATCTGTAGGCTTCTATACAGTACAAAATAGTTCGGAGCAAATATGTTAACGAAAAACAAAATAAGATCACTCCTTTACAGAAAATGGCTTCTAATGATTAATCTTAAAACACCATTACCTGCCTATAGGAAAGAACATAGCCCTATCTGTCCCTTTTGGCAATGCAAAATCCCATAACACATCAATTACTGGCAAGGGAAAAAATGGATCTGTAGCTAATCTCATTTCTGATTTTGTCCTCATTTTCCCACCAAATAAAGGTTGGTTCAATATGGCCCCATTGATACGCAATGGCTCTAATTTTTAATTGAGTAGTTTAAGTGCGGAATTAAAAGCAATGTTACCACCACAACTAACACCATAGAGGTAACACCTTGAGAAATCTCAATATTCCCTTTGCCATTTTTCGCCATTAACGCGATCCAATACTTGGCTCTTGATCCAAAGAACTGCGTCTATCGTGTCGTGGTATTGAGAGGGGAGCCTATTTTCGGGTGCTAGACCATAATCCAATGCGACAACAATGGAGGGGACTTCGCTATATAAATGGTTACAACTTTCATGTATTATTGTACTTGCTATGCTGAAGTGAGCCTATCAGAGAAGCTACCGATTCTTACTGTTGAGATTCTTGAGAAGGGTACCCTGCATATTGCAGAGTACCCTGGCGCTGAAAGAGAGTTTGTTAAGCTTAAACACTATATCTATAACTACTCGTCTCAAGCTTAAGATATTTATTTTCGTGATTGTTTTACAAAGAATATTTAGAATTTGAATATATTTTGTTTGAATATGATTTAAACCCTCAATTTCTAAAAATTAGAAAAATTACTCAACTTCACTAGCTTAACCATGTGTACATATATTCATTCGACTTGACACATTTTTTGTTGTACCCCAACACATTTTGCAGATTGCAGAGTACCCTGGCACTGAAAGAGATTGCACAGTATCCTGACACTGAAAGAGAGAACCCTGGCACTTGTCTCAAGCTTACGTTATTTATTTCTGTGATTGTTTTAATGTGTTATCTTAAAGTTGCTTTTGATACTATTGTAGTGAGCTGTGGAAATCTCCCTTCTTTAACACTATCACAGATATACTGAAAAACCTCCCTTCTTCTGCATCTGTTATAGGCCATGTTTCTGGAGGAAGAACATTGGGATTATGTCAGGTATGTCTTTCTCCAAATCTATTTCCTCGTTATACTGAATTTTGAAGCTATTGCCTTAGGTATGTTGCATTATAGTCCTTCTAGGTAACACTAGGTGACTAGTCCAATAGTAGTAGAATAATTTGGAAGATGAAATTGCATACATTTATAGCATACTCATGTTGATACTCATGCTGATATTCTGCTTTTACAAAATACAAAATGTTGATATTCTACTTATACATGAAGCTTTACATGTTTGAGTTACTATATTTGGACAAGATGGTAGGTCTTCCTTATTGTTCTTGCATAATTGATTTATTTGACATTGTTGTTCCAACCAAATTGGACAAGTTGGCAAAAACTTCCTTCATATTTGGGCGTTCATTTGGATCCTCATTCTAGCATTTTACTACGAAGTCTATGATGTTATTAGCAAGCTCGTCATTTATCTTGCTGAATTGATTTATCCACTATTGATCTTGTTTTCTCCTTGGAGCTGCTTCATAATCCAGTGGTGGATTGTCATTTTCTTCTCTATTTCTTCAAATTTTAGTCACCTAGTCTTAGTGAGTAAGATATGTAATTGTCATATCAATTTTTTTCCATCTAACCATATGCCGCTATATGTGTACAGTGGTATACTCATTCAAATGGTGAGATCTTTCAAGGAAGGAATGACACACTGATCCAAAAAGCTGCAACATTTTGCATCAGGGAAAAAAACAGTGGCTTAATTGCCTTATTTTCTCCATTGTTGAACATATTTTTCTATTTTGATAATTCATAGTTTCTTTACCTCTACGAGATAAGAAAGTGAATGGATTAAGATTGTTTGTTCTTATTTTAAGTGAATGACATTGTTTTGAGTTTGGTAATTCTTCTTTATTACGTTCGAACTTATTTTTCTTGTAAATCAGTAATGTGTGAAGGGACCAAGATGATATCTTCAATCTGTTATTGGGTTAGGTCCATTAGTCCTTTAAGTTGTTCTACTCTTTTATTTTTTAGTTTTCCACTTCCTCCTATTCAATTGCATATTAGATTTGTCTGTTATGGCTCTTTCGAAAGTTGATTACATAGACAATTTTTATTTCCATCTCATATTTTTTTATGTTTCTTTTTTGGATGTGATTTTGATTTTGAAGCTTCCTCCACTTTTGACGTTTCCTACTACTAATGTGGCATTTGGAGGTATGGTCTTAACTAAGTCTTTATGATGAATGCACAACTGACCAAGTTTTTACTTTATATTTTTGTATTGGTGTGAATGCTCTTGTATAAAATACTTATATTCCATCTTCCCTCTTTTTTCATTCCACAACTCTGGATATCTAAAGTTTCTATTATAATTCAATTTTAATTATACTATAAAATCACATTCTAACTCCATGAGGTAAGTGTAATATCTACGTACATTCTACCCTCCCTAGACCTCAATTGTCATTCCATTACTCTTGTTGTTTTTGTATAAAATCACATTCTAAGAAATTCATTCATCAGTTGAATATATAAAACATATCCCTGTGTTCTCATTAGCTGAATATCTAAAACTTATCCTTGTATAATGTGTTAAATTTTTCCTAATTCAAGGTTCTTGTCCAACTCTTAATTCTCATATGTCTTTCTATGCAGGACTGCTTTGAACCTCATGTTGCCAAATCAGGACAAGATCTTAAACCTGTTATGGTTTATGGGTGAGTATTCCCTTGCTTAAGTCATTGTGTATTTGCTTTAAGTATTCTCAATTGTATACCAATCTCGAATTTATTAGTTCTGCTTAATCACCTTGTTTTTAGGTATTTACCATTATAGTTTATGCTTAGCATAAGAAAATCTTATTACATGATTGCATAATGATCCAAAAGTTGGCAATATTGATTTGTAATTACTTAACTATATTCTCCACTTAGCAAAATTAATCTTTTTATTGTCTATAAGCTTTTTCTCTCCCCATCCCCCTATTTCTTTTTCCATAACTTGATTTATTTTGGTCTAGTTAACATATATTTGTACCTGAAGTACATCAGCAAAAGTTCCTATAACAGATTTTTATTTTAGGGGATTAGAAACGTAAATGTCTAATACTTTTGGTAGTATAATTTGTAGCAAATTAGTAATGAAGCTACGTTCCAACTTATTTCTAATCTATTATACTTTTGAAATTTTGAACAAACATCATTTTAAAGTAATGAAAATATGAGATGAAAAAAATACCTAATTTATATAATTTGTAGGGTCGGAATGTTATGTTGTACTCCAATCTTTCAAGATTTTGATTTTTTAATGTAGGGCCGCTTCAATTGTCGGATTGGACCATCAACTATTAATCTTCAAAGTGTAAGTTTGGAAGCCATGAAAGTGAAAGGGGAGAAGAAGAAAGTGAAAAAGGTAAAGTAACTTTTTATAAAGTGTAAGATTTTCTTCCACTTTATAAAGTGTAAGAAAAAGTTCCACTTTATAAAGTTCTTAATTCTCATATGTCTTTCTATGCAGGACTGCTTTGAACCTCATGTTGCCAAATCAGGACAAGATCTTAAACCTGTTATGGTTTATGGGTGAGTATTCCCTTGCTTAAGTCATTGTGTATTTGCTTTAAGTATTCTCAATTGTATACCAATCTCGAATTTATTAGTTCTGCTTAATCACCTTGTTTTTAGGTATTTACCATTATAGTTTATGCTTAGCATAAGAAAATCTTATTACATGATTGCATAATGATCCAAAAGTTGGCAATATTGGTTTGTAATTATTTAACTATATTCTCCACTTAGCAAAATTACTCTTTTTATTGTCTATAAGCTTTTTCTCTCCCCATCCCCCTATTTCTTTTTCCATAACTTGATTTATTTTGGTCTAGTTAACATATATTTGTACCTGAAGTACATCAGCAAAAGTTCCTATAACAGATTTTTATTTTAGGGGATTAGAAACGTAAATGTCTAATACTTTTGGTAGTATAATTTGTAGCAAATGAGTAATGAAGCTAAGTTCCAACTTATTTCTAATCTATTATACTTTTGAAATTTTGAACAAACATCATTTTAAAGTAATGAAAATATGAGATGAAAAAAAATACCTAATTTATATAATTTGTAGGGTCGGAATGTTATGTTGTACTCCAATCTTTCAAGATTTTGATTTTTTAATGTAGGGCCGCTTCAATTGTCGGATTGGACCATCAACTATTAATCTTCAAAGTGTAAGTTTGGAAGCCATGAAAGTGAAAGGGGAGAAGAAGAAAGTGAAAAGGTAAAGTAACTTTTTATAAAGTGTAAGATTTTCTTCCACTTTACAAAGTGTAAGAAAAAGTTCCACTTTATAAAGTGTAAGTTTTGAAATAGTTCCATTTTATAAAGTGTAGGAAATAGTTCCGTTATATATTAAAAATATACACGTTATGAGACTAACGAAAAACGTTTAGAATATTAGATAAAGTGAAATTTTTTCTTCCACTAAGCTTATTTTAGTTACTTACTAAAGTAATGGCTTATTTTGGTCACTTTTATGTTTTTGTGGCTTATTTAGGTTCCCAACCCCCAATTGACAGAGAGCTAGGTAGGATCGAGAGATTCATCCAAATCCTTTCAATAGAAAATTATACTAGTAATTTTTTATGTATATATTACAAATGTTGAATCCTCTTCAACTTCTTTCTTTGTATGTTTCCGTTTTTATATTTTGAACACTCAAGTAAAAATCATGACCACTATCGACCATCGACAGCTATGATTTGGTTATAAAGTGATAAATATGCGAACATGAAATAAGAGCAACTCTCATAAACACAGCAATCATACGTCCTGCTAAACACTGAAACGTAACTCCCCCATTAACTAACAAACTTCTTTAGATTTCTAAACAGAACTTTTAGCCATTCTTTTTCAGTTTTCGACTTTTGATTATTTACACCATCTAACAGTTATATCTGACACTAGTATTGAGGGATAACACTACTATATTAGTTCAACAGTTTTCTGCCAATTATATTGCAAAGAAGTTCATATGCAACATATACGGCTTGGCCGGAGAAGAGGGAAAGTTCAGAAATTATAACAAACATGAAAGAACTCTAAAATCCAAGCATCTGTCAACACGGGTCATTTAGAAGGGTTAAGAAATAGGTAGAACTGGTTGCAGAAAACCATCAGTCAAACAAGATGAGTAGTTTCCCTTGTGGCAACACGGGTCTTATGTTCTTTAGATGCCTATGATATCTGAACAAACGAGGTATCATGGCTCAAAAACCACAACAAGAGACTCGAATTAGGCTAAAATCATTCAGTCTTTAGCAATCTTTCATCAGGCTCCCTTGGCATGAAGCTGATTTCTGACCTCTAATGGCGCAAATCTTCTTCAGATGTACCTGGAATAAGAGCATATACATATCAAAGATCATACCTATAAGTTTATTTTCACATAACTACAAAGACATAATGCACATACAATTAGGTTAGTTATTAGACTATGTCGGCTACCATGTTTAGCCGAACAACTAAACTGAACTATATGTGTGTACTCGTGAATAAAAAGCAATCAATGTTCATGCAGAGGAAAGGGAATATAACCTCTTCATTCACTTTTTAATTGGTTTGGTGGCTGCGAGAAGAACTCTTTGGCATTATTTGCCACTTCTGCCTCCAGTATCGCTTCTAACACAATGTCAGACCCCTTTGCTTCATCTGGAAGAACAAAAACTATTAACCCAACAAAAGAAGATAAATCTCAACAAATTATTAAACAAACTGCTCGTATGCGCACAGAGCATGGGTGGGAGATTGGAGTTGATTCTCAAGAAAATTTCACTCTTCGTTTTGCAGCTAAAATGCATGTAAAAACAAACTATCCCATCTGGATCGATGGGGTTCTTGGCATAGTGGGTTTCGGAGGGCAGTTGCAAGTCTGATTCTTTTTCTTTCTAGGAAAACCAATATCTAGTTTTGCAGAATAAGATTGTCACAACCAGCATAGGCAAAAAATATTAGGTGATTTCTTTCCATTTGTCTACATCTAATTAGTATCTACGTTGTTGGAAGATAGGAGGTACCTGGTGGAATACTCAGGGTGCGCACAAGCTAGTATTTACACCATCTAGAATCTAGATTGATATGGCTAGTTCTCTAGCGAGATTTCTAGCTCGAATTAAGGCTTCAACGCCCCTCTCCTCTCTCTGTAACTAGAGAGGTAGGAAACCTGAGTTTAGAGCCACCTCGATTTGGGATGTCGGAACATCAACTGGATCGGAAACCCATTCAAACAATATGGCAGCTGCCACCCTATCACCCATCACATATAAGACAACATGATTCGTGATGCAGAAATGGCCATTAAAATGTGATTTCGTCTAACTCTAATTCTGATCACAATAACTTGAACTTTTTGGAAGTGACTTAATCTAACCACACCTAATCTCCTTCTTCTAAGACAACCTCACTTCAGCAGTATCAAGTCAAAGACCGCAATACTGATCTCATCCAATTTCACTTGTACCTTTGGAAGGACTTTACTTCAAGTATTTCAAATAATTACAAGTATTTCAATTCTAAGGTCAAAATTATGAGACTTAACCATCAACTTATTCATACTGCACATCAAATGAAAAGGGTCTGAATAAAGTAAAACTGATACAGGACACTTATATAGCCAAGCTCAACTAGTTTGAAATTGAAGCATAATTGATAGTTTGCATACCCTTGCAATCAAAACTTAATCACTCAATAGATAACTTTAATTATCACCTACTAATGTTTTTCAAAATTTAAAGAAATTACGAGGAATATCACCCTAAAAATGGTCAAATCGACGTCTAAATTCGATTTTGAACACCTAAATTAGGAAGAAGACTACTCTGGAATCACATATTGAACCCAAACGAGGGGGGAAGCAGTAGCGCCAAGCAAGAGAAAAAGCTCTCCATATGAAATTCCTAGCATCTCTTCTTTATTTTCGTGAACTCATCGCTTGGGTTAGTTATCTGGTAACTTATAGGGTGTGTTTGGTAAGAGGGAAAATGTTTTATTTTCTCATATTTGGTTGTTGAGTAGAAATATTTTTTGGAAAAAAAAAATTTAGTGTTTGATTTATGAATGAAAATTATTTTTGAAAAAAATATCTCTTCTTTTTACTAGAGAGTAGAAAATAATTTTTAAATTGAAAGAGAAAATATTTTTTAAAAATAAAATTAATTTTTTTTGGGGTGGTAGTGGGGTTGGCCGGGTGGTGGGGGTAGGGGTGAAAAAATAAAAATTTGAAATTGATTTTTTTTTTTAAAAATAAACTTTAATTTTTTTGGGGGTTGGGGGGTGGTAGTGGGGCTGGCCGGGG